AAGATCCCACCTACGTCTTGGTCTTCCTAGTGGTCTCTTTCCTTCTGGCTTTCCCACCAATATCCTATATGCGTTCCTCCTCTCCCCATTCTGTTACATGCCCTGCCCATCTCATCCTAATAATTCAGCTCATTTCAAATATTTATTATGTGCCGAGCCAACAGCTGCCAAGGCCAATTACAGACATAGCACAGTGTACATACATTAATAATAATAATTGCAACGGAGGTAACCACATACCAGATCACGTACTGTCATCCCCCGGTGTCATGACCTGCCATCTTATGACTGATCTGTATATCAAAGCCGTCAGTATATGGGGCCACATAGCGTTGAATAGTACGGTGATGGATCGATAATGACTTTGAAAAGGTGTGGAATGAAGCGGTCGCGATCTTTTTGAAGGTATTCGCCGGGTGAACTGAGAGGAACCACGTAAATGATCAGGAGAGTCGGTGTCCCTGCCTAGACTCGAACCAGGCATCTCCCCAGAACAAGGGAGTTGCCGTCTGATCCAACTTGCTCTCTCTGATTTGTTTGTCTGTAAATGAGAAGGGGTATGACTTTCTGACCCAATTACTGCTTGCATTTAGTGTGCGTCGGTCCCAGGAAATCGATTCGTCAGCCCGGAATGGGGCATTTCCATGGTTACTGCGGGTACCACACAAGTCTCCTCGGTGAAACACATTCAGAAAATTGGTATCAGAATATTTTCGTTCGTTAGGTTTTTGTAAGGAAACAGAAGCGTCGGCGGTACGGGACGAGTAACGGTAAAAGGGTAAAATTAGGCAACACTCCATGAAGACATGTGGGGAGTGGAGGCATAGCTCCACCATTCTTGATCTCGGCTCTATATGGTGATCCACACGTTGACACTTTTTCTCTAAAATTCACTTTAACATTATCAACGTGCATGGCGTGACAAATTTTAGGTCTCTGTAATACCAAATTTGGTTAAAACCGGCCGGATAGTTGCGGGGCCGTGGCAGGAGAAGCAGTAGGTCCTTGGTTTTAGCTTCTTTATATAAGGAAATGACATATGTCGAGGTTGTTTGTGATTATTTGCCGCAGTTAAGGAAGGACGTGCCGTAGGCCTGCTGTACCCTTGGTATAGAAAGTTATTGAAATGCGGTAAGGGGTGCGTTACTAACATAAACTTAACGACGTCGATTCCTAAACCGCTCCCTCTCCTGTTCAAGGAAACATGGAGGTCTACCATTGCTCGTCTTGTCTAAAAGCAGGACCTATGTTACTACTCTGATGTTTAACTTGCCGGTCACAGTGGCCGCGCGGTCTAAGGCATGAATTATATTCTACTGCTCAAACACAGGGATCGTGTGTTCAAATCCCATTCAAATGCATGGATGTCTGTGTGTGTTTATTCTGTGTTTGTGCTCTCCTGTGTGCAGGTAGCAGCCTTTCGACGGGCTGATTCCCCGTCCAGGGAGTCCAACCGACTGTGAAAGATGGGAGCTGAAAAAGCGGCAAGGCCCAACAAAAGGCTGTAGATCCATAAATGTATGGATTCCATACTGAAATGATCCTTATTTATTTTTGGTTTGCTTAACAGTGGCTTTAGTTAATGAGATCATACAGCATCGAATACTGAGGTGATTAATAAATTGCAAAGGACGAGGAAGGGAACTGTCATGAGCTTCTTTAAGCGATATATTCATGATGGAATAAGGAAAAGCGCGCGAAACCACAGGTCTCCGGATTAAGATTTGAACTCTGGACCTCCCGATTCCGAAGCAACATTACTAATGACAAGACCGTGATATTCAGTTCCTCTGACTGAGATGTTATTGAATGAGGAGCTGAGACTGTTGAAATTCTCCTACAGTAAACCTGTACAAAGCGGAATCATAAGTAAACTAAAGTCTGTTATTACCGAAAAATGTCTCTGGATACGGGTAACACAATGTGAAAACTGAGTTATGATTACCTTTAATAAACAGAAACTTTTTCACTTTGATATCGGAAAAATACAAGGAGTATTTTAATATATTTGTGGTATGATGGGGTTGTTGATTATGGCTGTTATAAGAATGTAATGGCACACAAGTCTGGTCGAATGTTTTAGTGTAGTGTGTATATAATATTGATACTATATTGTAAAAAGACATTCCTATAACAGGTCGTGAAGGCCCGTAGAGTTGTGAGACGTCGAGGCTCTCACATGTACTCGAGACAGATGGCGGTAAGACTGTCTGCCCTTTACCCTTGGTACTCATTTATTGTGCCTTTTGGAATTAACCAGAGACGAAACGTTCCCGTAGCAGATACGAAAGAGTCGAGGCCAACTGCCGCCAAAATATTTTCAAAATGCTGTAATGACGTGCTGGAAAAAGTTAGAAATAATGAAATTTAAAGGGAAACAAGAAGGACAGCTGAAAATTTATGCTTCTCCCTAGAGGTGGTCAGTTCGAGAATCTCGGCCTAAAGTCCTATCCTGATGGAAGTATTTTGTTGTTCTTCTCAGTCTCTCCAATCGAGTTTCGGTAGTAACCCGCCTCAATTATGCCACGACCGCTTCCTTTCTTATCCTCTCCAATTCTCTGTTCACCAGTCATCCTATCATTCGACTCTGTATAGTCTGAGACATTGACACTTAAGTTAAATATAAAAAACTCCATGGCCTGTAGTCTGCAAGATAACTATACCTACCGAGCGACCGCCGCCTGTCGGCGAAGTTAGTGCCAACTTTAGCGAATAGAGGGTGTCACGTGGTCAGCGCAACGAATCCCCACAGGCGACTTAGGTTAAATATACCACAAATGAATCAGTGAATTAATTGATACAAATTTAAAGTTGTGCTAAGCAGGAACTTACCTGAAACGAAAGTAATTGTTCGTATTCCTTGTGAGTCCGCTGTTACCAGGTTTCCGCTGTATTTCTGTGGCACGTAGCCCGTTGTGGCCCTGAACTGATAGCTCGTATACAGTTTTAATCTGCTCCATTACTCATCGTGAATACGCCTCTTTCCGTTATGGCCATATTGAAGTGCAGTTCATAGTTTAAAAGTGCGTAGCTTACCTTTTTTTTTATTATCGGTGGCTTACTGCTTCCAAGTTTCAACCGTTTCATCTGATCAAGCTGCCATTAAAGTGCTCCTGGGGGTAGGAAAAGTAGATCCCTCTGAAGGATAATTTAGCGCTTTATATGTAAATGACATAATGTTCTCCATGTTTTCCGTTTACATAATGCAGAAATGATGGGAACTCTACTCTAAGGCCTGGACCCCAGACCGTTAATGGGATATTTAAATTATATCGGTATGGCATTTATATACATGCCTTCCAACGCCTGGAAACGAGACTTGCCGTACTTTCAAAAACATTTATACGTCAGTCCACCCAGAAATTTTCCCTTGTACTTTACATAGAAAATTCTCAGGTTTCAGATTTTACTGTCTTCCCCATCCTTTCCAGACAGATCCGTATCCCCGTTGCCATGATACTGTGGGCTCCATTATCAGCCCCAGATCTTGTTAGGGCCCAACCAAATGCGTGAATCGTGCCACAAACAGATCAGGGCCGCTTCCTTGCTTACAGTTCTCAGATTCTGATTATAATTGTAAGGTGTTTGTGGTTTTATTCGGGTCATTCCTGGCGACAGTAGGACTAGTACCTTCAAATAAGCAACTACCATCTCCTTCACCATCGTTATCTATTCAGCAGCATAAGAAAGGCAAAGCTTATCCTTGTAACAGGCCGTTGAGGCTCCCACATTATCTAGACAGTCGGCTTACAGATGGCGGTAAGGTTGTCAGTCTTACGCACCGGCCGCCCTTTACGCCCCAGGAAGATATAGCTCACGCGATTAGTCGACGGCCTCTCACCGCAGTGGCCTGGGTTTGACCCCAGGCTATGTGGAATTTGTCAAGGACATTGTCACTGGTGCAGGTTATCTTCTTAAAATTGCAGCGCCTACAAAACAAGATTCTCCGCACTATTGGGCATTTTCCAAGATGCAGGCCGGTCCGCGGTTTGGATACGGCTTTCCCTCCTTCAACTCCAGGATTACGTGGTACAGGCCGAAGTCTCTGCTGTAGTTTATCTCTTCGACAGAACAGCGATCAAAGCCAGCAAGGAAGCCGTCGAAATAACAGAGCATCCCTATAATTCTAAATGTGAAGACGAGTAGCGATTGGGTAAAGCTTGACGTGACGTCTTCCTCCACGGAACCACCTTCATCCAGCAATCACTAAACTTCATTCCCATCCATGTGGGAAAAAATAAATTACAAAATTACGGAATGTTTTTATCATCTGTTTTCGTTAGCCACATCGTCTCTGAAACATCTCCCGTCACCTGTTCTCCCGAAGTCCATCTTTCATCACCCATTTTCGGTAACCACGTGATCACTCCTTATCGGCTGCTGTCCCGCTCGTCTCTGTTCATCCAGTCACGGCTTTGCCTTCGACACTGCCAAATGCGACAGCTACCACCTCCCCCACCAAAGTTATTATTCCTGTAAATGGCGACTGCAAGGCTTTCAGCATTCGGAGTTGCCTAGTACAGAAAACTGAAGCCACGCATTGAGCCCCAGCCGCGAAAACCCAAGGACTAGAAGGTGTAATATATAGTCTAGATACTGAATCCGTGGCCTGTAGTTCGCAAGGGAACTATATCGACCGAGCGACCGCCACTTGTCGGCGAAGTTACTGCCAACTTTAGCGGATGGGTAGCGTCACGTGGTCAGCGCAACGGATCCCCACGGTCCGTTAATATCGGTTTTCTAGACCGGAGCCCCTCTATTTCTTTGAAATAGCTCCTCAGTTATCCTCACGAGGCTGAGTGGACCCCGTTCCAGACCCACTACTTCTCAGAAAATCTGATAGCGCCGGGAATCAAACCCTAACCTCTGGTTCTGTAGCTAGGAACTCTGACCACTGGACCACAGAGGTGATCACCTAGATACTAACAGCTTGGTGAAATGATCCACAACGCATTAAGGTCTAAATGTTTACTAATACCTTCCTTCTCTTCTTATTGCAGGAGAACTCGAAAACTCGAGAGGTTGAAGTAGACATCGATGAATTGCTGGATATGGACAACGATGATCAGAGGAGGCGACATCTGCAGGTGAGTCACGGAACTAAAAATTACAGCGTGGATCTGTTGTGTATAGCGAGTGTATGATGAGTTCAGTAAGTACCGTATTTACGCATGTATAGGCCGCAGCACAATTTTCAGACAAATTATAGAAAAAATAATTTTCTTGGAATATTATGTCAGGAGTAGAAATTATTCCGAAATTTGGCAACGTTTATTTTTTTTTTAAATGAAGTGTGATTTCGAATATTTCGAATATAAGCCGCGCCCCAGTTTTCCTCTTGAATTTTTGGCAAAAAATGTGCGGCCTGTACATGCGTAAATACGGTAACTGTTCCTTCCCAAACATCATGAATCAACTAAAAAGAGCTAGTTGGCTCAAACGGTAGTGCTTCTATCTTGTATTCAGGAGGTGCCCATTTCGTTTCTCGGCCAGGGTACCGACTTAACAGACTCGGTGTTTTCGTGATTACCTTCAGAATGTTCAGGCAAATGTCGGGGCAGCGCCTCAAATTAAGCCTTTGTCGCTTCCTTCCACGTCCTTTCCAGTTAATTAATTTTTAATCGTCCTAAAATTCAATATTAAATAGCCTGAACTATTGACAGTACCGTTTAAAGAACACGTAATTAATTAAATTAATACTTTTTCATAACAGCAGTATGTTTTCTTAGATGTGTAACCAAAACTTAATGCTTCTGTTTGTACCGCATACATGAAATTTAAGCACAGTAGAAAGTTTGTGCCCGATAATCTGCAATTTTCAACAGATTTCTATGAAATTTGGTATTGGGAGTACACAATAAAATCACACTGCTCATATGTAAGATTTGAGGTTTTTACGGTGGTGACTATGAAGGATGCCGTCTTCTGGGATGTAGCGCCGTGTAGATCTTGTGTGAACCGACGTTTCGGAGGAACTTATCGTCTCCATCTTCAGGGTAGAAGAATCAGCGAGCGAGGAACCAGCGCGAGCAGGTGGCTGCAGACTCTGCAGATTTTTACTCTGAAAACGTAGCGCTACGTCCGAAACGGTGGTTCGCACAATATCTACACGGCGCCACATCCCAGAAGACGGCATTCTTCAGACTACTCATTGTTTACTGTTGGTTATTGTCAGTCAAATCGAAGCTCCCGATTTCCTCCAAAACAATTCGATGTGCAAAGAGTAATGAGCAGATTACAGCCTTTGTTGGAAGAAAATGGCGATATGGTAAATATTTAATAAAGCACAAGGCTGGTCGTCGTTGAAACTTGAATTGCTTTTTATCACGAGCTTATTTGTTAGTCTGATTCCCGGAGTTGCTGTTTTGTTGGAGAAATAGATTTTTATCTGCAATAAGTGGACTAGAAAGCAAACAAATTTTAAAAATCTCAAAACCTCATTTGGAAAATATACTATGGCATATTTGCTGAGAGCAAGAACTGTGGAGACAGAGAAACAGCCGTTGCTAGCGAACGGCTCAGAAACATTTGTTTCTAGGCAACGGCCGCGAAAAGTACAACGTAACGGTGTCCGTTGTTAGGCAGCAGATTCTTAATAAGTATGAGTAATAGACCGCAGCTCCTAGGGAATGGCTCAGTAAACACATTGCCGCGGAAACAGCATACGTGAATGAACGATGTTGTATACGCGGTCCGTGCCGAGGAGTTTTAAGGGAGATAAGTGAGACAAACATATCAGTTCTGTAAGGGAGTCTGCGAAGAAATAGTCAGCCGGAAGGGAGTAGGCATTCGGAAAGGACTTGAGCGTGGAAGCTGAAGAACCTCCCACTGTTAGAAGCCGTTGTCAGGGAACCGCTAGTGAAGACACAGCATGCTGTAAAAGACTCAGCGTGTGCTATGGTGTTTATAAAGTGTGATGATTAGCAATGGAGCTGTAATTACTTGTAGTTCTGAGTTGTGTGTGTATAAGTGGTCAATAAATCCAATAACCGATCCAAAACCACGTCGATAGTCACACCCATTCACGCGACAGTATTTCCACTGTTGTTGAATATTATTGAGATGAACTTCCGTAAAAATTAGAAGGCAGGAAAGCATAATTGTACATGACTTTTGCATGGTTGTTAAACACGGTATCTCATATTAATTGAAGAACATGGATTAGCTAAAAAAAATAACAGTGTGTGCTTGACAGGCGCATTCGGCAGAACGAGTGAAAAGTAAGATAATTACATGTATGATGAAATCCTCCATCCAGTAAACACATCAGATTTGTAACCGACCAGTCACTCGAACTGGCGAAAAATCAAAGCTGTGTACTGAATATGTTCTCAGTCCTCTGCCTACAGTGCTCAGCGTTGATACACACACCGAAGGAAAATTAAATACACACACGCGCTGTTTAATGTAGGCCTTTGCTTCAAAGTCATATAGCAGCTGTGGCCAAACTTCACTTCACTTCACCTCGCCTACTCAGGCTAACGAATTTATGTATCAAAGGAAATTAATGACAGATGTGGGTGTCATATGAGACATGTCCTCATAAATTTAAATGAGAAGAGGTAAAGGAGCGTAATCCAACCACTAGAAATGCGGCGAACGTGAGATCCCGGCTAAAAGTCGAGCATCCGGGAGCACAGTTTAGCCTATTCGCCACGAAGATTGTATCGTTGTGGAAGTTAATCAGATTAATTCTATGTAAAAAATAAAGTTGTCCCTGTGCTTAACTAATAAAACACTACGCCATCAAGACGTATGGGGGAGTTGATGTATAAATCCACGTATTCTTGACCTCGTCTCTAATTGGAGGTGAGTGGTAAGCTACACGCCCCGGCCGCTTTACCTTCCAGGGAGAGAGCTCCCAGTATCAATTGGATAGGATGCTGAGTGGGCCCCAGAACCGGTATGGAAAAGGAGAAAATTTTGCTCATACCGGGAACCGAACTCCAACCCCTCTGCCGTCTAGACCCATTGCTCGGCAACGACTCGGTAAACACATTCCCGCGGAAGCTACGCAACGGCTCAGTGAACAAGCCTTCTCAAGAATAGAGAGGTTGTGTTTTCTGCATGGTCCTTGCCGATTGAGTGATCCCGTGTGGAGGCGCAGTCGAATATCTCCACCATAGCCCTGCGAGTCGTAAGAAGCGACAAAAAGAGAAGTCTCGGATCTGAGATAGTAAAATATGGTCGCGAATCCCACGGGACTCAGACCCTCCATCTCGTCAGAGAGAGCGCCCCACATCAACAAACCCGCAAATGTGTGACAGTAATGAAAATCTGGTCGTAAGCCTGTGATGGTTGCCTTATTCCAAGACATTGGCAGACTGACTGTCGGTCACAACATACGGCTTGTCTCGTTTGAGTGAGTTGTCGAGACTTGGGTCCAGTTCTGGAGATGACAGTCGAAGATCATTGACAAGATATGGCAAGAAATTAATTAGACTATGAAAAGAAGACTTCATATGTGGTTTGAAGTAAGAGTGAGACTGTTATACTCGTAAATCCGTTACCAGGATTCGACCAGTGAAGACTGAGAACCCTACTGCTTGTGTAACGATGAACTGTGTAGAGCAGCGATAGCGCTGTATTGCCTGTAGTCCGAGTATTATATGTAAGGTGTCAATAAATCCAGTGATCCAATCCAGAACCCGTCTTATAAGTCACGCACACCCCCTACACGTGACAATATCTTAATATTCTTTTTTAGGTAGAGAAGTTGGCTGTGAGTAGGGAATATATAAAATAACTTATATTTAATAAAAACACGTATATATTTGTAAAATATAGTAACGGTGAAATTGTCCCTGTTCTTATGTAAGCATAAACACACAAAGACGTATGGTGAAGTGATGGTATAGCTCCACGCATTACTGATCTCAGAACTATTTAAGGTGAAGTGTCGAGTATCTCTCCAACTGCTCAAAAATTTTGTGTCGATGAGAATTCAAGTTTGTTTTCTTCTCGATAAGTGGATATGAATGCCATGCGCGCTGCCTTGGTGTTGGTATCTTGCGTTCCGTTCCGCTGTCACTAAACCGCGTTGTTTTCTTTCCGTTAGCTTTATGGGTTGGAAGGCAGCAGAGCAGTCGTGAAATTTATGCTGCTTGTCAGTCTGTTTGAAACCGAACTCACCGTCTGTGGACCGGAAAGTCCATTGTCTGCACATAACCCTTTAATTTAATGTAGAACTGCTCGCGTGCCGGATGTGGTCCTAGGACGTATGTTGATACCATCAATATAAACCTGAACTACTCGATGCTCATAAAAGCCTGTGTTAAAAACCTATTTTCAGAGGCCACTCCTCCCCCCTCCCTTTTTTTCATGGACCTAATGGTTAATTTTTCTGTTTCTTACAAGTATGGGGGCCGTGCCTACATGTGAGATGGGTTAATTTCTTATTGCTAGTGTGGTGGGACTAAGTCCCTTGTACTGCGGCCACTTCTGGCCTATTGTACCAGCCCCAGATGATAGGTGAGGATGATTGTGGAGCAATTGGTGGAATGAAGATTGGCAGGGGAAACCGAAGTCCTCGGAGAAAACCTGCCCCAGTGCCACTTTGTCCACCACAAATCCCACTTGACCAGACCCCGGGATCGAACCCGGGCCGCCGTTGTGGGAAGCCAGCGACCAACCGCTTGAGCTATGGCGCGGCCCCTGAGGTGGGTTAACTCTAAAAACATTCGTGGGGTGTCTCGAATTTTTTTGAGGTGGTTGTTCTTTATAAAACATAGTACCCTTTTTACTGGGATTGCTGGTACTCGGTTCACAGACACCCTCTTTGCTTTCCAATGAACGCCTGTGAGCAGGACATAACTGGCAGTAAGTGTTATTGATATGGAGTGGCTATAGACATGACTTGGTTCATCCTGGTCCGTCACACTAGTAATAATGTCACGTGTAGGGAGGTGCGCGTGACGAAATGACGGCTTGGTTACATAATCTTTTAATTACACTCAAATACAGCGCTACCGCTGATTTACATACATTCCAGTTCACCGTTGCGCACGCACTACGGTTCTCAGTCTCTACTAGTCGTCTCCTAGCAACGGATCTCAGCACAGAAACTAAACGGGCCCATACACCTACG